TTCATTTCCTTTATGTTTTGTAGAATCAGTCATATTGTCACACGTGTTCTGAATTTGCAATCAGCATTTCTGCTTCTTGTGTGCTTCATCCCCTCTGTGTGTTTATAGTCCTGGTTTTCTTTGGTTAAGTTGTAAGTTTTCCATGTTGTTGTCATGCCTGTCCAGTTCTATGTTAATGTTGTGTTTGAGCTCATTTATTTTTTGTTGTTTCGTAAAGTTTTGTTTTCTCATTCTTCATCCTGCCTTTGTCTTTTTTTTTTTACTCAAGTGTTTCTCATCTGTCTGCTTTGGGTCCTTGACTCCTGATGTGCCCTGGCTTCAGGGACTACAAGTGCTCCAAACACAAAAAATTAGCATCGTTGGACTTCAGGTTTTTGAACAATCAGCTGATGAACATGTTTGAAATGTGGTGCCTTCACATAATGGAATGTTTCAGACAAATAATAATTATAATAATGCATTTATACAGCTCTTTAAGCCTTGTTGATCACCCAAAATGGAATTATTCTACAAGTCAAATACTTATTTTTACTGACTACTTTTACAAAACAATGAACAGATCAGAGAAAACAAACTGGGGTTCTGCGACATGTCCAGGGACCAAACAAACCATGAAATTGCGAACGCTTGTTGCATGTTTTCAAGTGTTTTAAACTGACTGGTATAATTAGCAACAGTGACTAGTAAACACCGTCAAATATGGGCTGAAATCTGGGAGGGCTGAAGGAAAAACAGAGGGAATGTGGAGGGGGGAGAAACATCTGGACAAATCATCTGTAGCATACTAAGGTCATGAGTCACTCAAACCACACGTGCAGAACTTCCTGTGTGTTCACCCCTGCCATTGGTTGACTGTAAGCGTAAACCTGCTCCGACGACTCTGTCACGCTGAGCCTGAGTCCAGGAAGGACCAGCTCTGCTGTCTGGGGAGTCACGTTGCAAAACTGTGTGGAACAGAGGGGGAAAAAAACTCACCCTGGAATTTGCAAGTCATTTCTAGCATCTGAAATATGACATTTATTCTACAAAGCAATCCTACAATTTGATAATCAAATCACCCTCAAACAAAATCACGTGCAGTTAAGCACATATTGACACAGGGGAAGATGCAATGAGGCCACTTGGATACAGGAAGTGCAGCAGCCTTTGATTGCTTCCTTACTTCAGCTGCACACATCCTTCTTCATCTGTCATGCACATCCTGTCCTCCTCAGCGCAGCCACTTCTGCATTTTGTCTGTGTGTGCACAAATGTTTCTATCAGTAAGGCTGCATACCAAAGCTACATTGCGGCTGCGTGCATGTGCATGTAAAGGACAGACGAGGTGAACCCAGAAGAAGCTGCTGGAACTCTTCTAGATTTTCATTTGACGAGTCACTTGTAAGCCATTAAAGATTACAACAGACAGCAGTAATTACTCACTTTTAATAACCCTCACTATATTTATTAAAAGTGTTGTTTATGTGGCACCATTTCTGTGATTTTTGAGACAATCTTGTCTGATTAGAGGATTTAAAATCGAATACCAGACGAAGCAATAGTGGGGGCTCAAACAGAGACGAACCGAGTTTCATTTTCCTTTTGATTCGGTGAAATAAAACCTTCCCTGAGCCGAGCTCGTCTGCTTGCATCTGGTTTAACACAAACAGTGTATTCCTGCACATGACAGCTACACTGTTTTTGTGCAGGCATGTGGAAAGCAGAGCAGCCTGACTGTCATCATTTGGACTTTTCATTGCACCTGTTTACACTTCTTAAGTTGTATCTGTCGTGTTGCTGCGATCCTCGGTCGAACGGAAACGATACGAGCAGAGACGAGCTGCGTGCAGACCAAGCAGAGCTGCTCGGTCACATTATTTGTCTGTAAGTTAAAAAATAATCCCAGAGGAATATAAACAAGAAGAAGAATAACGAATATAATCACACTTTGCTATGTTGTGCTTGTGGGCTTTTTATTTTCCTTCTGTGGTGGATAGCATTTTTTAAAGCCTTGAGTTCACAACAAGGGAATTGTTTTCCTTAAAAAACTCTGTAGCTTGTTTGTTCTCCAGCATGTCTTCGATTTCTTGTCAACATAATAACGTAACCCAGTTTCTTACTGGCTGCCTGGCAGCTCCTCTCAAACAACAAGCCCTTGATGAACATAGAAATGTGTTCCCAACAATTATATGACAATTTCCACGCACTGAGCAAAACAATTTTGGTGTTTCCGCTTCATTAACTTTGGTAAATGAACTTACTTTACAAGTGTTGGTTGAACTTGTGGATGACTCGGTTTTAATGGTTTCGCCTATTTACCGTGCTTTTCGGACTATAAGGTACACTGTACACTATAAGGCGCATTAAGCGAAACAAAACAGTCAGATAAGTCAAACTTTATTCAACTCATTCACAATAACCACATAAAATCGGTTCGAGGTCAGTAAGCACAACCAGAATTAATACATAAGGATTGTCGATTTTTGAGAAAATTAAAGGATTGTAAGTGCACCTTATAGTTAAAAATATACGGTACACTGATAGATAATACACACATAAACAACATAAAATATATTTGGCCAGAATAAATGAAATTGGGTTTTGGATCATATCTATTTCTTTTATGTTAAATGGTAAATATCAATGCTTCTGAAAACTCTTATTTTGTGGATTTACTTGTAAGTTTTCAGTTCTTGTAGCTTATTTTCCTGAATATAATGTTTTGATCCTGCCACATCTGGCTTCTGTTTGCTCATCGCCACTCAGATGTTCATTCATCGTCAATTTTCCTCTGTATATATATATAGTCCAGCTTCCTTTGTGTTTTTTTGTTTTTTTTTGCCACATCATGCAGTATTAGGACAGTTTTTAAACTAAACGCGATACAATATGACAAATTAAAAATGTGTAAATCATGTATAAAAAGGTGAATTGAAGCTTACGCTGAGTTCAACCAAGAGAAACTTTTCTTTCTCATTTTCCACTTCAACATCAGCTGAGGGAGACTTTTCACTTTTCCTGTCAAACCAATCAACAACCTCTGTCAGCAGATCATTTTGCTTCTATCTGGTGTTTTTGTTTCTTTCTCTGCAGCTGTCAGCTGCCATCTCACTGTCTGATGGCTGCAAGCTTTTTGACAAATCCCACCTTCCACTGTCAGAAAGCCCTTTATTCATTTTTAGTGTAAATCACAGTTCTAGGACTGCTGCAAATAGCCGTAATCCTCAGCACTGGTGCCCCCCAGGGCTGTGTGTTGAGCCCCCTCCTGTTCACTCTGCTCACACATGACTGTGCACCTACTTATCCAGACTGTCATGTTGTAAAGTTTGCAGATGATACAGCAGTGGTGGGATGCATCACAAACAATGATGAGTCCAGCTATGGGCAGGAGGTGGAACACCTGGAGAGCTGGTGCAGGAAGCACAACCTTCACATCAATGTGAAGAAGATGAAGGAGATGATTGTTGACTTCAGACGGGGCAAGCACACATACCCCCCTCTGCACATAGGAGGATCTGCAATGGAAGTGGTCTCTGTTTACAAGTACTTGGGTGTACACCTGAGTAACAACCTCAGCTGGGGCAACAACACTACCAGCCTGATCAAGAAAGCTCATCAGAGACTACTTCCTCAGGCAGCTGAGGCAAGCTGGTCAAGTAAGCTCAGTCCTCACCTCCTTCCACAGGTGTGCAGTAGAGAGCATCCTGTGCTCCAGTATCAACGTGTGGCATGGAGGCTGCACAGCTGGAGAGAGAAAAGCTCTGCAGAGAGTGGAAGGCTGTTGGAGTCAGCCTCCCCATCAACACAGACATCTACACCTCCAGATGCAGGAAGAGGGCCACCTGCATCATGAAGGACCCCATTCACCCAGCACACACACTTTTCGCCCCGCTTCCCTCAGGTAGGAGGTTGAAGAGCATTAAGTGCAGAACCACTAGACTGAGGAACAGCTTCTACCCTGAGGCTGTTAGACTCATAAATCCCTAATCAGAAAAATCACTGTAATGCCACTTTAATTGGTGATTTGACATTTGATCTGTGCTGCTGATTATCCATGCTGCTGATTTATGGCCTATAAGCAGCTGTATCCATACCCATCTGCTCAGAACAGACTCATGTTCAGGCTGCTGTTTAATACACCATATTATATTACAATATTATTGTTTAGCATATATCTTAGAGCCTTATTTACTGTTTCTTTTTTACTGTATTTTTGCTATTTTTGGGTGTAACTGGGACTTTGAGTACAAAATGTCATTCCACCTCATGTACCACATGTGAATTAGATTATTAGATTCATTGAGAATCTCATAGCTGATAGCACTTGGGTGAGTTTTACCACAGACATTTGGATGTCATGTTAGCCTCGTTAGCATGATTAGTCTTACGGCACAATGGATAGACAAAAACTTTGAACTTAAATGTCTGTCCTTCGTGCACAAGAGTGCAGAGGATCCCACACTGCAGCTATAGGAACCTGGAACAAGCCTCCACAAGTGAGACAGCATTGCAGGTTACTAATGCTAATAAATAACATTCAACACTTTTCATTAAATATAAGTTAAAGTGCTATGCATATCATATGGCTGTTACTGAATATATGTCACCAGCTCTTACAGCTGTTAAACAATTTTTGTATCAAATAAGCCTAAATAAGAGGGCTATGTTCTGATAAAGGAAAGTATATAAAAATATAGGTAATGGTATTGATTTAAATAAGTTTTAACATATTGGCATATCGGATATCAGCCAAAAATCCAATATTGTACATTTTTAGTCTATAGAGTCCTTGTTTTGATACAACTCAAAATACTAATTTCTCACACAATTTTCCCAGACCTCTCAGCATACCCTTTTTTGTTTTCACTGTTTTAAAGGAGAATTTAAATATCTATTCATCTGCAAAGAAATCTGCTCTCTTCTTAGTTATGCACTCAAGTCTTGCTGTGAATAAAATCATTTCAGCGTGACTTACAGTTAGGTTGGAGTCAGGCTGAAGATGTGAACGTTGATGTACTCACGGTGCAAGCTGAAGGTGATGTTGATGATCTTTTCTTCTGTGAAGCTCTTCAGATTGGGGATCAAGGCACATTTGAGGTGAGTGGATGAGGGGGAGTCTCCCACATGAATCCAGCAGACAGTTTCCTTGGCATAAACAAAGTCCATGGCCGTGGTTTGTTTGGTGCTGGTGGACAGCAGGCTGTGGACAGCGGTGCCACTCAAGGAGGTGGCTTGGATGTTCTGGGAATTGGCTATCAGCAGAATGGGCAGACGGTCCACTGGCACTGGAAACAACACGGACAGTAAACAAGGAGAAATATGAATGAGCAGCAATTAGCATAACGTCTGAGTCAAGTAGGTGCGTATCGAAGGCCATCTACTAACCATTTTTAGCTTTGCAGGAGCGATTGTCTGGCTGGGGGAGATAGCCCTCCACACAGGAACAAGAGTAGGAGCCTTCAGTGTTAGTGCAGGTCTGACTGCAGGTCCCATACACACTGCACTCATCAAAGTCTGAAGCACAGAAACCAAATGAAACATTGAACAACAACTATCCTAAAAACTCCACATCTGTTAAAAAAAATAAAGCATTATCGACAAGCACAACTCACTGCCCTGAACCACAGGTACCACTGAAGGAGGCAGGATAACCAGTAATGCAACCATCTTACCTTTGCACGTCTTTCCATCTGAACTGATCTTGAAACCATTCTTGCAGTAACAAACAGGCCCCAGTGGTGTAGCCGTACAGTTCTCCTGACAGCCTTTGATAGAGCAGTTGGACCGATATTCTATAGATAAACAAAGAAGAGGGAGAAAACAACAGGTGGATATTTAAAGAAAGGTTGTTTCCCGTTGCAAAATTATTTACTTTTTGTGCCTAAAGCCTTGCAGCAAAATGTTCCATTGGCAGTAAAATGAATTATAGCTGTGCAACAATTCATTTGGTTACAATCCTGCAGCTTTCATTCATCTTGCTAAGTGTAGCAGAACATCCTGCTCACAGCTGCCTGCAGACATCAGACCCAGCTGCTGCTCAACCTGCTGATCTATGCCTTCTGTCTGGAGCATGTTTAGGTACAAAACAAACCTTCTTCCATCATTCTATAACGTCTGGGAACAGCTACAGGTACCAACCAACCATCAATGGATTTTACAGATACAGTCCGACAGCTGACAGTCTGTCACAATGCATATTCCAAGCGCTATCTAATCATGTGAGATTATATGAGATATCACAATATCAAATTAGATTTCGCACGTTTTTTAAGGTTTCACAAAATCAGCTGTAACTCTGTCATTTTTCAATCTAAGGCAATCTAAAACCCTGACATGAATGGTGGCAACTATTTGAATCAAGGTCTTTGGTTAAGTAGGTCTCTTTGTGCTTTTGGTTTGGTTTACTTCCTGTTTCTGTCTTACACCTGCTTAAAATTTCCCATCAGCACACCTGCAGTTCAGAAGGCATGTAATGCAATGATTTCCCTCAGTGTTTGCATGCCCTTATGGTTCGAGTTGATTTATTTTTTATTTGTCCATTGCTTTAGTCCTTTTTGTTTCCCATTTATCCATTTTATTTTAGGCTTTGACAAATAAAGCATCTAGTTCTACTCTTGTTCTTGAACAACAGAGTTACATAGCAACCAGAAAAGAACAAACCCAGTTAAAATCAATTATTGACTTGTTATAGATAAAGCCTCATTTAATTTCGTATAACTTAAAACAGCGTGTGAATCCTTGAGGCCATGATGACTTTGACATTAAATAACTTAAACCTAATCAATTCACCCTTGACACCAAGTGATTTTTTTTTACTTATTTTAATCCCCTGAAGGTTATAAAGCTTCTATTAGAATGACAGAGACGGATAACGCGATGTCTCTGACCACGGCTGTCTCCAACATGAAGGCAAAACAAATCAGAGTCGTCTCCGATATCAGCCGCTTCACAGTGAAACCAACAAGAGATCTGATCTGCATCATCTTTGAAGGAACTGCCTTGACGTGTCCATGAAAACAAAATAAACAAAAACTTGAAAATATATATATACAAAGATAAATTTAGAACGCTCTTTGAGATATGAGTGAAGAATAAATCAGTACAACGGCTGAAAAGCTGCAGTGAGAAACTTTTTTTTTTCCAAAATGGACCTATTGCTGCATATTTTAAATAAATACAGTTATCATCATCGTCACTTTTATTTAACCGAACTGAGATCAAGATTTCTTGTCCAAGGGTGACCTGGCCAAGAGGTCAGCAGCGCACCTCATAAAACAATAAAACAAATAACAATATGAGACAAAACGCAATTACTTTACTCACATAAATGATTTTTTTGAATATGACGTGAATAGCTAAGTGAAACTAGAGAAATTACATTTCCTGTGAAAATGCAGTGTGGGTGCTTATTGTTGAATATTTTTTGCTGAAAGCTGCTGGAAAAGTTGAAACCAGGCTGAGTTTTCATCAATAAACTGTTAATGCAAAGTGAATTTTAACAGCTGACACAGAGAGAGGTTGAAAAGATGATAAAAAGTCTGAAACTAGCAAAAAAAAAAAGAAACTTAAATGAGCAAGAAAAAGCTAAAATTCACAAAGACATAGCTCAAAAAGCAAAACAAGAGCTGAAATTATCAGAAAGTGTCTGAAAAGCGCAAAAAAAGATTAAATTGTTGGAAAGAATCACAAAAGGTGAAATTTACTAAAGACAAAACGAGACTACAATTTGCTGAAAAATATCTAAACAGTGGCTGAAAACCATAAAAAAAAAACAGAAAATAGTAGAATAAAGTTGAAAGGAGAAGAAAAATAACTGAAAAATGAACTGAAATGTGCAGAAAGAGGCAGAGGGGAGCTAAAATGAGCACAGAAAAGCTGAAACAAGCTGAAGCAGAACAAAGGCTGAAATGAGCAGTAAAAGGTTAAAAACATGTGAGTTCCATTCATTTTCAGGGAGAAAAAACAGTCGAAAAACAAAACATTTCAAAAAAATTAAATTGCACTAATACCAAAAGTCAGAGCAGGAATGTTTTGAATGAGCTGAATGTTTTGACATATGAATTGTTGAAATAACAAAAATTGTGGAACAAGTTACGTGCCAAAAAACGTGTGGAAGAAAATGGATCTCATCATCTGTGATGTGTGGATGATTTGGAAGCAATCTCACCATAATAATTTACGTTGATGGTTATTCCTTAGTATTTTTGATTCAATTAAATTCAAATTCAATTCAAAAATACTTTATTAATCCCAAAGGGAAATTAAATGTTGTTGTAACTCATCATCCTTGTTTCATTAAGAGATGTTATGCTGATGGCTGTAGGCAGGAAGGATCTCTTGTAAAGGTCCGCCGCAGAATGGATCCGAAGAAACTGGCCGCAGATGCCGTCCGATCCGTCCACCCAGACTCGGCTGGCTTCTCGGTTCCTCCGGTCTGCAGAACCTTCTGAATGCCGGGAGGAACAATGATGACCCCAGAGCGATGGTCACTCCTCCCAGCAGACTGCCGAGTTCCTTGTCGCTGCAGACAGCTAGCTGCAGGTGTCGGGGGACGAGCCCGGTCCTTCTGCTGTCATTAGCCATGTTTCTTGCTAGTTCCAGGATCTTAGTGATCAGGCACTCGAGCAAGGTCGGCAGGGAGACGGGAATGCATCCACGGTGCCTCCTTTTCAACTCAATTGAGATTTGTGGCTGTAGTTGAGGTGTTATTTGAGCTTTTGAGATGTTAATCAGCTGCTCCCAGTTGTAAAAACCACCTTGTTTTTACGGTTATGCATTATAAGAAATGTCCAAAACTAAAAAAGTTTCCGTAAAAATCCTTCCAGCTGAGCAGCATCCGATACCAGAGGAAACAGTCATCTAAAATATGTGACTTACATCCAGCAAAAGAGGAATTAAAGTTTCCAAAAGCAAAATCTCTGAATTAATGTAACAGAGCTGCTCCAACATGCAGCCACCCCGAGCGGCACAATTCTGGACCATGAAAAATAAATAAAATGATGCAACGTTAAGGTTAATTTGAGGTGTTTCCTACTGACACAGCATGAATACTTTAGTGGTTTTTGTAGGAATTCCTGCTTCTTGTTTAAACAGAGATATTCCTATAGATTTTGTTACTAATCAGACTATCGAAGTCAAGACCTACATCTAAGGCTTTACACAGCAGAAAAGGATGAACTCCAATCACACCTTCCAATCAGCTGGACAACCTCATAAAGGAGTCCTAACATAGTTTCAGAAAAGCGCTGCTCATCCTGTGAAGTACAATCAAGACAGCGACTCGTAGTCAAACACACACAGTTGTGTCAAAACAGCCTGAAATCTACCAGCCACTAGTGATTCACTTTCCCCAGAAATACTGGCAGACTCTTCAAACAAAGAAAACTCCTTGAAGACAGGCATGGGATCAAAAGTCTCCTCTTTATAGGTGCCAAGATAAAAAAAAACTGCACTTCTCCAGGTGTACATGCTATACTTTCCAATACTGACCCCCCAAAAAATGTCTTCAACTTGAACGCGAGCGGGCCAAAGGAGCGAAAAGAAACTACACAGATCAGCAGATTTCTTCTGTCGGTGCATTTTTAGCTGTTATCTTTTTATGTTCTTCATGGGAATGTCTGTTTGTAGAGCTGCACCATAAAACCACTGCCCCGCAAGTTTCTATATAGTTCAAGAAGAGTACACAAGTGTTCCCGCTGCAACTCCAAAGGCCTGCCGGGATGACCACAGTTCAAATTACAGACATGCTCCGAGTTTTCCAAAACAAGTCTGAGCAGTGAGCAACCGTGGAAGGGATTTACAAAACCAACACGGGCAACAATGTAAACAGCCTGCCGTGACGCACGATGCAGAGCTTTGATTTTGGATCAAATAAAAACCAAGGCAAGAAGCTCTATTTTCAGCTTTCACCAGTAACAAAATCCAACGATTTCACGTTTCAGACACAAAGATGCACAGCTCACAAGAAAACACCCAGCCCTGAAAAAAGGCCAATCTTTTGAGCACGGTATGTTTTCCTTTGGACGAGCTGCTAAAACCCTACACAAACAGAATGTGTGCCTCGAGGGTGAGGTGAACAGACACACAAACATTGCACAGTTTAGCCACCCTGAAAGCACATGAAGTTTTGATGTTTCGCTCCATGATATTTTTTTTCCAACAAATATTTTATTGCAGTTCATTTTTTTGACCAAAAGTGCAGTAGTGAAATGAAGGAAACAAAATAACGCTACACGAGATAGCCACCTTAACGCAGCAACAGTTCAACAAACTAACCCACTTCAAAAGATCTGAACTATGCCTTTAACCTGTGTTAAGGCGTGGTTCAGCATTGATCAATTCTGCTTGTTAAAATTTGGTGATTTCTGTTAGGAGTTCTTTGCACTTTCACAATTCTTCCATGTTTTATTTAATATTTTTGGGGGCTATTTTTCAGAACTACGTTCAATGTGTTCCGGCTGCGGTCAACTCAGTCAGCAAAATGTAAAAAACTTACCGGTATATTGCAACCCTTTGCAAACTAGTTCCTACTTTCGAGTTTCTACTTCCCCGTCTTAAAAAATGCAGTAAAATGACTGTACTGACCCAAACACTGGGCACCCCACACAGAGGATGTTTAAGAAACAGTGCATTTGGCTGAGAAATGATAGTGTGGCTCAAATTTCAAACAGACAAAAAAAGGCTCAGCCCAGTATTTAAACAATTCAGACCGAGTATCCTGATGCATGCTCAATAATCCAGGTAGAAAAATCTAAAAAAGTTAAATCTGGTCCTCTGAGAAGGTGCTATTTAAGAGACTGAGCTGAATACAGCACCTCAGACTGAGGAAGTCTCTCGGATGAGAGACGAAACGTTTCTATATTTTTTTGTTGTTTTGCTTTGTTTTTGTTTGTTTTTTTGAATGTCCAGAGGACCAGATTTAACTTTTTTAGAGAATTCAGACCGAGGCTTCACATTGTACAGATTTTAGAAGACAGAAATGTTCAATAAGGGACTAATGCCCCTTTTCCATTAGTAACGGTACAGCACGGTTCGACTCAGCACGGTTCCAAGGCTTTTCCACTAGTAACGATTGGTGGAACCGGTCCCCTTTTTCAGTACCATTTTCTCTGTGGTTCCAACCGGGCCAAGCTGGTACAAAACGTGATGTCAGAACATTGTCGATCATTGATTGGTCGGGGGTGGAGTCACGGGCTGCCTGAGAAACGTTCACAACAACTCGATCAGCCATTTGCAATAACTCGAACTCGAGGAGCAACTGGACCTATTTTAATGATTTTAAAAACAATAATGACAACACTGTGGTCTAATGCTGAAGTGTTGGCGTTTTTTGTGCTTGGTGGCCGACGACAAAATAAACCGAGCTAGATGGAGCCGCCGGTTCCCCCGGTCGTCTTCTCAGAGAACCCTAAGACCGGGCAGGGCATCATCTCCCAGGCTCCGAGCTCCACCGGTCACTGCAAAAGATCCTCCGTGCTGCCGACCCATGGGAGCATGTGAGGCCGGGGCCCATGTGAGGCTGGGGCCCACCCGAGCCCCTGACTCGTGCGCTCCTGCTCCGAGCTCTGCTGGTCACTGCGGAGGATCATACGAGCTGCAAACCCGTTGAAGCTGCCCGAGCCCCGACCTTGCGTGCTCCTGAAGGCCGGACCCCAAGCCCCGGCAGACGGGCAGACCTGTACAGGTCTGGGACGGAAAAACTTTTTAAAAACATTTTATGTATAAAAAAATAATAATAATTTTTATTTTTTATCAGTGAAGATTAAAAAAAAAAAAAACGGTGCCGACTTTATCATGAAATCCTGTTTTCACTTTAATGACTTTGTTAAATAATCTGTTAAAGTTAACTCAGCTGAAAAATCATAAAAAGACATAAAATGATTGGATCTCAGGAATATTTCCCTCAAATATGTTTAAAGAAGAGATACAGCCTTTAGTTCAACTTTATTCTAACCCACAGATGTACAAATCACAAAACAAGCATTAAACTTTAAAGCAAAGCTAAAAATAAATAAATATATATATATATATATATATATATATATATATATATATATATAGAGATATTGTCGTATATATGTGTGTGTGTGTGTGTGTGTGTGTGTGTGTGTGTGTGTGTGTGTGTATGTATACAAGAAACACAATCACATATCTAAACTGAACAATAAAAGTAGGCACAATGAGTTATGAAGAAAACCTATAAAATTTTAAATATAGATGTTATTGTAGAATCTGGTTAATCAGAGATATAATGGTGAACTAAAGTTCATTAGGAGTTACATTGTTTAATTTGATAATTTTAATAATCTGTATTCTTTATAATTTACCAGAAACTTCAAAATAAATATTCTCACCCTGTAAGAAACTGTTTCAGGGTCTTACCACCAGAATTATCACCACCAGCTGGTAAGGCGCGTGATGTCAATTTCTGAACTCTGACCCCCACCCACTATAACCGTTACTGAAAGTATAATAAACACAACTCGCATTGTGCTGAGTCGAACCGTGCTGTACCAATACTAAAGGTACTAATGGAAAAGGGGCATAAATTACGTACAACGGAAATGCAGTCCAGTTTAACACTCAGTTTCCTACAGACCAACAAGAACAAGTGTTTTACAGACACACTGCATAGAAGCCTTTGTATTGTTACCTCTGCAGTGGGCTCCCTCATCCCAGCCATTGGTGCAGTCTGGGACCCCGTTGCACAGTTTGCTCATGTGGATGCACAACTCCGTCCCTCCACACTGGTACTCATTGGGTGGGCATCGGGACACGGTGCTGTGTGGACCTGAGGAAAGATAAGCACATGAGTAGCTGACTAAAAAGATAATCTCATATTAATGGGAGACATTGAGTGGCACCACTACTGGAATTATACACAGGTGCTTCTCAAAAAATTTGAATATTGTAAAAAAGCAATTTATTTTGTCAATCATTTCAGAAAGCTAAATTCATATATTACATAGATTGATTATAGCTACATAGAGTGAAATATTTCAAGACTTTATTTCTTATAATTGTTACATGATTTTTTTTTTTTTTCTTTCGGCTGCTCCCTTCTTCAGGGGTCACCACAGCGAACAATCTCGCACGAAGACTTGGCAATTGTTTTTACGCCGGATGCCCTTCCTGACAACCACAGACCACCGAGCACCACAGCCCTATGTGTGGAGCAGAGAGCTGTTACCGGGGGGAGCAAATGGTGGGGGTTAAGGGCCCTGCTCAAGGACCCAGAGTGGGGCAAATGGGGGTGAAGGCAGGTGTGGGTGTTTCACCTGCCCCACCCACATTTTGATATTGTTGGTACCGGGAGTTGAACCGACAAAGATCCGATCACAGGCCCACCTTCTCTAACCTCTCTAACCACTCCCCATAACAAATAATGAAAAAACAAAATTCAGCGTCTCATGAGAAGAAGTAAAACACTAGAATATAACTGGAAAGGCTAGGTTAGAGTCAGAAGTAGCAAAGCACTAGTAAAAGAAAAATGAATGGCCATATCTTCTTCATTTTTTTTTTGGATTGCCATATATTTGACATCATCGGATAGCTTAGAACCCATACTTTCAGATTCTGTAAATAACTCAAAATGGCCCAGGAGAAACTTGCTCCTGGTTTTGGTGTGGCCAGTCACAAATGCTTGCTAACAGCCATGTGTGAAATGCTAGCAAGAAATCAAGGAAAAGCTAGCTTAGAGACAGAAGTACCAAAACTGTGGTAAATCAATTTTTACAGATATATTTAACCCTGGCATCAATATAGATCATTGTTGACCCATGAGCTGTCCAGCTGTGAAGTTTAAGATTTCAATGTGAAAGGGTTCCCAATTTAGAGCTGTTTAACCCTCCAGAGTCGATGGTGATGTTGGACGTTTTTGGACTATTTTTGATTTTACATTCATATTTCACCCTGAGAAATATTTAACCGGCCATGTTTGGTGTCATTTTTTCCACAACCTCCCATGTATAAATTTTAAGTTACTTTTTACTTCTGACCTACTACAGTATATCAACACAATAGACCTAAAGTTACACACAAAAAAATCATAAATAAAAAACATAAATTCCAAGTAGGAAAAAAATGTATTACTGTGAAACTGCGAGCATTCATGATTCATTCATTCATAGAAATGTAGCCATTTTCTTTGACGTTTTTGGACAAAATAATGTGTTACAATAAAATTCCAGAAATCGTTTGTGTCACCCATAAAAGCAGTTTCTGTCCAAAACAAGGCAAAGAGGCACATCACAGTCCCTTTCTTGGTCAGTTTGTAGGATCAGTCGGGTGAATGTTCTAAAATCTGGATCTGGATCTGGATCTGGATCTGAATCTGGATCTGGATCTGTCTCGTGTCATTTTCACTGGAAGGGGCACAGACAAAATGTGGTTTTGTCTCTTTTGATCCTGGATACTTGGCCAGGACACCAACATGTGAATCAGGAGACCAAAACTTTTACACAAATCTTCCATGTCTGTCAGTCTATTTTTTGTTGTTGTTTGTTTGTTTGTTTGTTTGTTTGTTTGTTTGTTTTTGAGAATAAAAAGTTATTTTGGACTCTGTGAGGGAAAGTGTCAGTCTGAACCTCTGGTGTTCCCTGTGCCTAGAACCTGTTTATCTCTGGTTCAACATCCACATCCTTCTCTGTTCTCCAGAGCTCAGAAATGATGCTTGGTTCTGTTGGCCCAGCCAGAGGGGTGCAGTCAGACCTCCTAGTGGAGCTCGGTGCACTCTTCTTCTCTTTCCTCTTCCAAAAGAAATCATGGATCACCCACTTCATCAACAAAGTTCTCACTGTCTGACTCAGACCCTGTTTATCTCCTTCATCACTGCCTTCATGGTCCTCTCCACTGTCAGAGGTTCAGACTCCACAGCTCCACCCTCCTCTGGTCTACAGCTCCATCCGCCTCTCATTCAAAAATTGCCTCATTGTTTTGACTCACACTAAAACTGACTAAACTAAACACCAAACACAATAAACTATACCCTAACTCTAAACCCCAAACAAGCTAAATATCACAAATCTCTCAAACCTCATGACTCACTCCTGCTCTTGCTGTGACTTTATTGCACCAAACTCCATTCAACTTGTGCATATTTTTCTTTTTCTTCCTGTAGACTTTTTTTGTGCGCTTGACAAATAACTTCGAGCCTCAGTCATAAAGAAGGGGAGAGATTGTTTCTTTGTTCGGAGGCGATGGGAGGTGAAGGTGGATGGGGATGGGGGTGATTGGTCCAAAAGACCACCCGTTTTTTCTGCTGCCTCTTGCTCTAGCATGCTTCAGATATGGTGATGATTTTTAGAAAAAGATGTGGCGTGAATTATTTATCATAACTTTGGTTTTACTTGGCTTATCAACACATTTTTAAAACTGTGTAATTTGAACTCTACTATTGACACAAACTGAAACAGAGACTTAGAGTGGACACATTTTTCCTGCTAGAGCGACCTAAATCGGTCATGAGACTAACACACACTGGCACATCGATTGACTCCAGCGGGTAAAAATAAGGGGTAACTTTGACCTTGACTTGTGACCTTGACATTTGACCCCACGACCTTGAAATTAATAGAAAAAAATGTTGACCAATGAGACGTCCAGCTGAGAAGTTTGACATTTCTTTGTTAAATAGTTATCAAATTATAACAATATAAAGAAAGGGGTGACCTTTGACCCTATGGTCTTAAAATTGATAAGCATCATTGATGACCCATGACGAGTTGAAAACTTTGACATTCCTACGTTACACAGTTGCAGATTTAAAGCTCTGACAAAAAATTGTCCACAGGCTGCTGGACAACATGTTAGCTGTGGCGGCCATGAAGATTTTTTATTTTCAGTATGTGTTTAGGATCACACTTGCTACTAACACATCAAATTTTTGCCTAAATTATCTAAAAATGAACAAGATGAATTTGAAATAAACCATAACAGATCACAAAAAACAGACATTAGTGAAAACGTAGATGGAAAAAAATTTACCAAAAAGGTCAAATAAGCAGAAAGAGGCTAAAAGAAGACAAAAGCTGCTAAAATAAGCACAGAAGTAGTTGAAAACCAGAACAAAATGCTGAAATGAGCAGGAGGCTTAAAAAGCATGTTGCGGAATTGAACACAGAAAACAATCAAATGATCACATTACAGGTTAAATTAGTAGAAAAAAGTTCAAACTAGCAGAAAAAACAGCCGAACAGTAGCTGAAAGGCAAAAAATGAGCTGAAATTAACAACAAGAAGCAGAATAAAACACTGAAACTGACAGAAAAACATTTAAAAAAACAGCAGAGCAACAAAAACAGCTTTAAAGCTGTTGAAAAGCTACATCAGAACCATTTTTGAACAATGACACCAGATGATATTCACTGCCAGAAATAGCTGAACAAGCCTAAAAAATCTCATCAGAAGCTGTAAAAGTTGAATGAACCTGTAAAGAGTTAAATATAATCAAAAAATACACACCCAAAAACACACACAGAGTCACAAATGGTAGTTGGATGTTGTTGAGCTGAACAGTCTGTCACGAAAATGCAGAACAGGAGAGAAACACCAAACATTTCACTAAACCTAAACTCCAATTTTACAAAACTTGCTTAACAGCCTTCACACAATAATAAAGAGAAACAGGAAAACAATAGTGTGAATGATAAATAAGCAATATTCACTCAACAAGCAAACAAGAAAAAATTGTGTCTAAAAATCTTTTAAAACAGCAATAAGTTGTAGGATTAGGCAATGGCTTTTCTAGCTTGTGGGGACTGAATGAACTGAGAAAACACCAGAAAGGGGTAATAAAATATAACATGCACTAATCATACACAACATAGTTGCATCACATGCAGTTCAGCATCTTCAACTGATTTGAATAACCACGTCTCTCTTGTAAACGAGTCCCCGAGGCTCAGTGGGATTATAAATAAAGGTTGAGTGAATGAATTATGTTGGGCAGTGAAAATAATTTTTCTTGTTTTGTTTATAGTTTATAGTTGTCGTTCCTAGAATTTATAAAAACAGAATGGGAGGCAGATCTTTCAGTTATCAGGCTCCTCTCTTGTGGAACCAACTTACGATCTCTGTCCGTGAGGCTGACACATTATCCAGTTTTAAAACTAGGCTTAAAGCTTTCCTTTTTGATAAATCCTATAGTTAGTGTCGGCTTGGGTTTCCTGAGCTGTCCCTTAGTTAAGCTGCTATAGGATTAGACTGCTGGAGGACAAACTGACCACACTTTTCACTCTGCTACTGTCTTTACTTACTCTGCTCAACCTGTTTTGTATTTGTAATTATTTTTTGTATCCTTAACATGTGTTTTTTTTTTTGTCTTTCAGATACACCTGGACCTATACCTGGACCTACCATTCTGTGTTTGTCTGTCTCTCCTTCCTGTCCTCTCAAACCAGTCGGTCAAAGCAGATGGCCGCTTGTCCTGAGCCTGGTTCTGCTGGAGGTTTCTTCCTGTTAAAAGGGAGTTTTTCCTTTCCACTGTTGCCACTGTGCTTGCTCAGGATGGGAGACTGCAACGAAGCCAAGATTCAACTTGTCTGCTGCTTCCTTAGATAGAAAACTTTACTAATTGGCTTTTATGTGAATGTTCCTGTAAAGTGCCCTGAGACCACTTTGTTGTGATTTGGCGCTATATAAATAAACTGAACTGAATTGAATTGAATAGTTTGCTGAATTGTCTCCAATATAAGTATTTCCACAATGTCATTTGATTTATTAAGGACTTTTACTTCATTAACTAAACAAAGAGTTTGTTTGTGAAAAGCCTGGTTAGCATGAAAAGGTAACA